GAGCAGAGTTCCCCCCGGCTCCGCTGGTCTGCCAAGCCGACTGCTCTCTCCCTCTCACCTCTCAGCACAGCACCCTTCTCCCACCACAAAAGTGTGGGAAGGAATGTCCTCGCTGCCAGTCAACTCCTTTGCGCCTGTCTCTGAGGCAGGAGTCTTCCTACTTCTTCCAACTTTTCCATCTAAATCCAATTGGTGCATCTCAGATGGTAATACATGATCCCACAATCAACTCCAGAGTCTTGTCAGGGTGTCCTGAAGCCAAATCTGGTGAGGGATGACCTGCCTTAGGTCGTCCAAGGACACTCAGCTGTCTCAGGCCACAAGGACACCCCTGTAGGAACAACGTCTCCTACAAGGCGGCTCAGACCCGAAACCACAGATGTCTGTGCTGCCAGCAGCTCTTTCAAACCAGTTGCCCAGGAGATGGGGTCCCGAGGACCCGCGGAGCTCTGACGTCAGACGGGGGTTTCAGCTAGAAAGGGGGACGAGGGTGGCCCTGAAGCCTGCAAACCTGATTCGACTCTGGCTTCACAAAGTTTTTAGCTCTGAGACCTTGAATAACTTATTTAACTTGATCTCAGATACCTCATCTGTGAAACAGGTATAGCAACACTTAAAACAAAAGGCTAACACTGAGGAGTCAAAATAAGATATTTAAGTGATAAATCATTCGATAAACTATCCATCTGGGTAAAACAAAATTCCTACACTTTATTCTTCATCCCATGTATTAGAATACATTTCAGACGAAGCAAGGATTTACATTTGAAAGAAGAAAGGAAGGAAGGAAAGAAGAAAAGCAATAGATGGAAACATGATTTTTCTGCTGTCACATGTTTTTACAACTTTACAATCTTGAAAGGAAAACAGGCTGCTCTAAGGGAAACCTGGTCACCTCTCTGGATACAAAATCCAGAGAACTGGAGAAAAGACTAATAAAATTAACAGCATCATTTTAAACTCTGTCAGGTGATATCCTAACAACCTGGGACTTCCCAGGTGGTGCTAGTGGTAAAGAGCTTGCCTGCCAATGAAGGACACAGAGGAAATGCGGGTCCCATCCCTGGGTCGGGAAGGTCCCCTGGGGAAGCAAATGGCAAACCTCACCGGTATTCTCGCCTGGGAAATTTCAAGGACAGAGGAGCTTGGTGGGCTAGAGTCGGTTGGGACCCACAGTCAGACACGACTGAAGCAACTTAGCACAGACACACACATCCTTACAGCCCAACAATAATAATTTACATTTGCTATTGTACGTATGAGCAGAACTCTCACACGCAAACAGTCTTTTGAAATAAACATAATAAATAAAGAAAAATGGGGGAAGTTTTCTGCACAGTTGACCAAAGAGCAGTCATTTCCTTCACGTATAAAAGGTACAGAGAAGAACAGGCTCCACTTCATGGCAGTAGCTCCCCATGAACCCGTCTTTCCAAACATAACAAGTATAAATTCCAGACACAACATAAAACCAAGTGCTTGCAGGTACCAGAGCGTGACAGAAAGCAGGCACCTGCTGGACCTTGTGAAGACAAAGCTGTTCTCTGGCTCTGCCGCCCTCGCCTCCCTGGCCCCCGCCGCCCCAGCCCCACTGGACTCCACGCCCGGGCCTCCGCCTCCCTCGGCGCCCCGGCCTCCGCCGGCCTCCACGGCCCGGCTGCGACACTGTCCACAGTGCTACCACTGGAGGGGAATGTGAAGGAGGGCACAACAGTCTCTCTGCTTTACTGTTTACAACTGAGCCTGAATCCTTAATTACCTCAAAGTTTTTCAAAATTTAATTAAAAATCAATTGTTGTCATTTACAGGATTATAGAAAAAAATTAATCCATGTGGTCACTGAGATGTGTGGAGACACATGTACAGAAAGCCTTTGCCAAATTCAACATTCATGATTTAAAAAACTCAGCAAACTAGAAGAACCCACATTAGAAGAACACAGCAAAACAGAGGATAATTGCTTCAGTTGATAAAGGGCATTTACAGAGTCTACACTTAATATAATGATTACAGTGCGATAGCAAACAGTTTTCTCTTAAGCTGGGAAACAAGGTGAGATGACTGCTCCGTAATTCCCCAGCACGCAGTGGAGGGGTAGCCAGTGCAATACTTCAAGAAAGATGACAAGCATCTCAGCGGATGCCAAAGGTCAACGGTCCGTTTATCTCAGCTCCTCAAGCTGACCGCTTCTAGCTGTCCTTAAGTCCGAGGCAGATAAAAGGCTGGGCTAGTGGATACTCGTCCTCTGCCTCCCATTCCCCCGAAACATGAAAGGGTTTGGAGAGCAGAGCTCCTACGTGCCACACTGGCCCTCTGGGCAGTGAACCGGCTGGCAGCAAGCTTGTCCTGCTGACGACCCCTTCGTCCTCAGCCGAAGCCCTCACCTTGACTGTGTGAGAGGCACATCCACGGGCTGTGGCTGGGCTCCGCTGCTCACGGGGTAAGTCGGTCAGACTCAGGAGCCACGAGGGGCTCCTTCGGGTAAGTCACTTTGGAGACGCCCAAGGTCTCCCCCAGACCCCTGCCTCCAGCCCCAGCCTCAGTCCCCTCAGGGCACATGCCCCACACAGCCTCGTGGGCTACAGCTGGAGCTCCCCCCCCAGGCTCATCTCTTCCCCCAGGCCCACCCCAGATGGGAGGAAGCCACCTCCCCCAGAGTCACTTCTCACACCACTGTCAGGACCCACACTCCAGGTGTGCCATCTGGACAATTCATTGCTTAAGATCTGCCCCATTAAAGAAGGTAAGTTCTTTGCAAAAGGCCCTATATTTAAATTTTTCATTTATTTTGTGTCTCTCGTCTCCACATCTCCCATGGTTCCTGGAGGATGATGATATGAACTTGATAAATAATCGTCAACTCAATGAATGGATGCAAGAAGCCTGGGAGAGGGTCCAGGTGAGGACTGGGTTGGGGCTGCAGGACTTGGGGGGCACAATTGATGGGGCCTGAGTCTCTCACATGTGATCCCCCAGGAGAGGGGGTGGCAGCTGCACCATGGCCCTGACCCTGAATTCCCCGAGCTCACCCCACCCTGGAGCACGGGTGGATCTAGGACCCAGAATCCCGTCTCTGAAGGAGACGGCCACTGATTGGGGGCGGGGGGGGCGGTGAGCAGCCCCAGCCCCAGCCCCAGCCCCAGCACATGAATGTCTGCATCTGAAAGATCACTTCTCACAGTAACTATGGCTGCATGTCTTATCAACGGTTGATGACACAACTGTTTATCAGGACATCACCTCGAACCATTCACGCTGGCTGGCACAGAATCTGAGCAAAACTACCTGACGGAGCCTGGGAGCCGCGGAGTCTAAGGGCACCCTGGGGAGGCATCTGCTCGCTTGGTGCAAAGCTGTTCAGGGTTTGTGTGGGTGGGGGTAACGCCCCCCCAACCCACCCCCGATCTGCAAATGCGCCCTTGTGGCCGATGGGACTGTGGACGTGGAGGATCTGAGGCCGGGCAACGGTACCAATGGCGAGTGTAACCTCAGAGTCCTGAGGAGGGAAGGAGGGAGGCAGCTAGGTCGGAGTCAGGGAGGTCTCGGGGTGGCGGTGGGGGGAGCTGACCCTGACTGCGTACTCGACCGACGCCCAGAGCTTGTGTGGGGGCTGCAGGCGGGAGCTGACCCTGTGCCGCGGACTCCAACCGACTCCCGGAGCTCGTGTGGCTCTAGCCCCACCCCCGCCCAGGAGGAGGACAGCCAGCCTGGGGGTCCAGGACTCAGGGGCAGAATGGGGGTCAAAGCCGCGCGCATGTTCAGAGCTGAACTTCCGGACTTCCTGCCGACACAAGGTGCTCCCGCGGTTGGGCTGATGGGCGAGGGGCTTGGGGGTCAGGGGTCACTGCAGACCCCTGGAAAGGAAGGCTTCCAGGCAGCCAGCTCCCACGAACACTTCACGTGCTTGTAGCCTCAGTCCAGTTCATCCAGGGGAGCTGTCATGGCCCCAGTGCGGGGTCCCAGCCCACCTCTCCATCCAGCCTCTGCACCCTCCACACCCCCTGCCTCCTCTCTTGGGCACAGACACTCCCCCGGGCGGAGGGCGGCCAAGTTCCTGGCGGTTTGGGCCCCATCCTCTGGCCCCAGTGCACGGGCATATCCCCCAAGGTGCCCTGGGCCACGCCTGACCCCTCCCCGCGCCCAGCCCAGAGCCTGGCCTGGACCAGAAGATGGCAAAAGAGCCGCTGAAACAGCAAGAAACCACTGGGGAAACAGCCGGGGAAATCCGCACTCTGATATCTGATGACCGGGAGGAGTCACTGTCACTTATTTTCATTGTAAAATGCAAGTTGCGGTTTCCTGGGGTGTTTTTAGTTCTTATCTAGCTTTTAGAAATGCTTTCTGAAATATTTACAGATAAAATAATATGACGTCTAGGACTGGCTTAAAATAACCCCATGAGGAAGTGGGTGGGGTATAGACAGAACAAGGCCGGCGGAGGGCCGGATCCTTGCGGTGGGGGTGGGCTGGCTGTGCGTAGTCCACGGTCCCAGCGAGTGTGGAACCCCCTCCACCGCACGGACCACTCTGGGCGCCGGTCCTCTGCGGGGCTGCTCGGACCCAAGCCGAGGGGCGGGCTCTGCCCTCGGGAAGGGCGCACAGCCTCCACCCGGGTGGACAAGCGGCCCTCAAGGCGGCTCACTCACATTAATCTGGGGCGAACACACCCTGGCCGCGCACACGGCCGTCTCAGCCGCGCACACGCATCCTCCTCCGCCGTCCTCCAGGCCCGCCTACACCGGACACCACCCTGCGGGCGGCTCAAAGGGGGAAGACCAGCTGGTGAAGGGCCTCCCCTTGTCCAGCCCGCCGTGTCCCTCACCTGGCGTCCTCACAACCCAAGCCCCAAGCCGCCTGTCCCGTCCAGACCAGGAACAGAAGGCCACCTCCTCCGACACCGGGCTTTCGCTGCAGCCGCTGCCCGGCCCGCTCACACCTCCTCGCCTTGTGTAACACAGGAAGCGGCCTGTTTTGATAAGACGGAGCAACAAGCTGGGAAATCAGATAAGCTGGGCTGCACAAAAGCGTTTCCTCTGCCGCATTCCAGCCCGAGACGGGTCTCGGGTCTCGCTTGGAAAGACCGGGGGCGCGTCAGGGGCGCACGGGTGGCCTGTCACCCCTCGTGGCTCCGTCAACACGGGGCGGGGGGGTGGCCGCGTTGGGCTGGGCCACGTGCCAGACAGGCCGTGGGACCTGCAGCCTGCTCTCCTGCTTAAACACGCTGCAGCGCTTTCTCTCAGGCCCTTGACGTGCCAGCAAGGTCAAATGGTCCTTTATCCACTCGCTCTGCGGCCTTTGGCCCAAATCTCAGAGCCAGAACCAGGAAGTCTGGTGGAGATTTCGGTCAGGCGGAACCCGATTTCTGCAGCCCCAGCCAATGGGCAGGACCTCAGGTAAACAGCAGCCCCCAAAGCCTCGGGGCCAGGAGGTCAGCCCAGAGGCTCAGGGCCCAAAAGGCCCAGCAGCCTGGGAAGGGGTTGCCTGAGTCGTGGCCGGATGTGGGCACTGCTGGGGACGGAGGCCACGGGCCCCAGGGACAGCCTGTGGCTGCTGGGCCCCCAGGGCCGGCACACCAGGAGGGGGGCCAGGGTGTGCAGGCCAAAACCGCGTGAGAACTGAGCCACAGGAAGGAGGCGCAAGCAGGCGCCCCCGAGGAGGGACGAGCCAGCACCACGGTGCCCACAGCCTCGATCACCGCGAAGCCACTGGGGCCCAGCACCAGGCTCACACAGCCAGGCTTCCTGCAGGCGCTTCCTTAAGAGTCGAGAAGACACCTGTGGGCCCTGGCAGAAACCAGTTATTGGTAATAACCATGGCGACGATGACACTTTGCTTCCTCCAACCACCCAGTGTCCCCAGGACCAGGCCGTGAGAGCCAGCAGGGCCACGTGGGGGCCTGAGACAGAAGCAAGAACACACGCCTCTGGACATGTGTGTTTGTGTGTGTGTTTAGTAGTTTTTCTGGAACATTAGAAGTCTTTGAGAAAGACACTGAAAAATTGAAAAGCAGATACATTGAAACTCACAATATTATAAGTTTAAATATTTTATTTATATCAAGAAAATTTATGTAATTTAACCATATTGAATTTAGTGGAATGCAAATAAAGGCACTGATAATATTTTCAAAATGCACTTCTAAAACAACCATTAACTGAAAAATGACACAGCCATGTTTATGGGGACACATAGGAAACACGAGAAAATACAGTGAACACGTCATCATTCACACCAGCATCACTCACAACAGCCGAAGAGTAGACACAACCCAGGTGTCCCTCAACTGAAGAAGATGCAAACAAAACGTGGTCCATATACTCAACGAATGATTGCTTTTCTAAAGGTGTCACATGCAGAGAACAAGTGACCTTAATACTGAGCTTACAACCTGGACCCGTCAGGAACAGGACACACTCCCCAGCAGTGACACGGCAACTTCTCTTAACGTGAAAGATGACAGCAGCTCATCCACACCCTCCCCCACGGACCTGGAGTCACTGCAAGACTGGAGAGACGCTGAACTGGATTCCAACTCAGCTCAACCACTTCTGATACCAGGGAAAATGCTTACCCTCTCTGAGCCTCACACCCCTCATCTGCAAAACAGGAGTGAAAGCAAAACAGTGTGATCAAAGTGCTTAAAACACAACTGACCCTGAAGCGGTGGCTGGGTCCCCCACCTTCCCTGGGGACACCGCGGTACTCAGACACCACGGACCTGGGATTTCCAGCACTGACAGGACGCTCAGTGCTCACCAAGTCCTCTCCAGTTTACAAAGATGTGCTCGATTCGCACACGGTCCTGCAGCCCGTGTGGGCTGTTCACCCGTGAAGTCCCTCTGCAGTGCCGTGGTCCCTGACCAGCAGGCGGCAGATGGGGGTGCCAGCCTCCCATGGGGAGCCTGCCGGGTGGAGGAGGGCAGCGGCCTGAAGAAGGGGGCAGCGGCTCGGGCCCGCGTCTGCCTCTGCGCCCCCCCACATTGCAGCAGCGCCAGGCCGCCCACCTCACACTTAGAAACCACACGTGCACTGAGCGCAAGGGCAGCAAGCCATCTGCTCTGTTAAATCCCTGGACGGCATGAGCTCATCCTCGGCACCAGAACACCAGCCTCCGCGCCTCGGGGGCCGAGGGATGGGGGGTGTCCAGGCCCCACTCGGCTCTGGCTTCCGCGATCACAGAGCGTCTGGCAGCAAGAGCACCCATAACTAATGGGTTGTTTCCCTTGCCTCTTTTGATAAAAAGCAGGAGAAGGAGATGTGATTTCACGTGGAGTGTGAATCACACATGTCCCAGAGTGCAACAGCCTGGGCAGGAGGAAGGCCTCGCTCCGCATTCTGGAGTGAGTGCCACCCCCACCAAGCACAGAGCCTCGGTTCTCAGTCACCTGGGACAGTCACCTGGAAGCCGGCTGTTTGGAGATCAGTTACCCCACCCTGCTCAGCTCCCAGGAAATGTCCTCATCAAGTAAACAGGCTGCTTGCAACCTTGGGCTTCACAAGTTGCAGGGGGAGGGGGGCAGGGGGGTGACTAAATACCAGGGCATCACCTGGGAGACGTGCCCTGGACAGAGGACAGACAGGCCTCCCCAGGGAACACAGAGCTACCTGTAAAGATGGGGGTGGCTGGCCTGTACCATGGAGTCACCTCCACATCCAAGCCCCGAGACCCTCATGACTTTCAGGGAGGGGAGCAGGCCCCGAGGCTCCCCTCCTGCTCACAGACGGCCACGATGGGTGGGGGCAGCGTGCACAGCCTCACGTCCCCGGCCAGCACCCGCCGGCCCTGATCGGCAGGGCCTGCCTGCCTCCAGGTCTGAGGTTCCCTGAGCACCAAATGCCAGCAGATTCCACAGCACACTGCCAGGGATGGAGCGGCAGAGGTGGGTGCTGCTAACCATGGAGTCTAAGAATGGGACCAGGTTCACCACCTGGAATTTGTTTTACAGATGCAACAGCCTACAGATCTATTCTTGGCTTCCAAACAGAAATTCCAACAAGAATTTTCTTGCTCTCCATTAAGCATAAAATAAAGAACTGTTCAGGAAGCAGACCCACTCTGAGGATGAGTGGTCCTCAGGCAGGCACCTGCAGGCCCACTCGGCCAGGTGTTCTAGGTGGGCACTGACCCCAGGGCATTCGTGAATGGGGAAACCCACTGTGAGGGAATCAGGCCTGTGAACCAGCTTTCCGCTTACCTGGAGTCACGGCTCCAGTCACCGGCCAGAGCAGGTTAAAGGCTACTTGAGGACAGACCACATTGTCTGATAGTACGATGGCCTCTTCTCAGGGAGGAGAGCACCATCTGTATTGAGAAAAATACCCCAGACACCACCTGTATTGAGAAAAATACCGGAGATCTGGCCGGACAGCGTGTGGCGAGACCCCAGCGTCAGCCTGTCCCCTTGCCCAGCCCACCAGGCGTTCACCGGGGCCCAGCACCCTGCGGGCAGCAGAGGCGTGCTGCAGAGTCAGTGTGGGGTCAGAGCTTCACCGGCAAAGGGGCGAGTGACTTCCTTCCACGAGACTCTTCGGGGCAACACAACGGCTGAGCATCCAGCCCCGCAGCCCTGCATGCACGTCCCTCGGCGGCTGTGGACACCCAGGTCCTTAAAACGCTCCTGGAACAACTTAACTCTCTGATTCCCTCGTTAATGAGGGAATAAATATTTGACACTTGTTCATTCTGCATCTGTGTGGGAGTCAGGTTTTGAAATATTTAAAACTACAGCATGTCACGCCCACAGACAGACGACAGACCACACCGGAGGCAGCCTGGGGTCGGGAGCCTGTGGAGACGGGCCTCCCGGCTCTGCCGACCTCAGGAAATGAGCCCAAGTTCACACGCTGCATGGGGATGGGCTCACAGGTCGCGGCTCGCCTGGCCTGCCCTTGAAGGTGAAACCAACTCCGCAAGTGCTAGCGCAGCTGGTCAGCCCCAGGGGCTCCCGCGGCTGCTGGACACGTTTTTGACCCTCCCCAGAGGACGATTTCTAGGTGTCTTCACGCTCTCGCTGAACCAGGTTTTTTCCATTAACTAAAGCAAAGCTTATCAGTTTGTGTAAAGGTCAAGGCTCAGAGCAGCTCATCTAGGCACCCGTGTCCATAATCCCAGATTGTTTCTGTCGGCAGGCGGTGGGTTCAAAACTGAGGCTGCATGCGACTCTGGGGTCCTCAGGCAGCCTCCCCCTTGGCGCTGTCAGACCAGCCCTGGAAGGCAGATCAGACCAAGACACCGGAGCGCCACCCTCCCCGCTTCTACAGGTGCACAAGTTCTGGCCGCAAAGGACTGACCTGGGTCCCCACAACGGAAGCCACTGGTGTGACTTGGGAGGAGGCTCGGGCCGCAGCTCATCAGACGGTTGGCAGGGAGGAGCCGCCCGGAGCCCTGCCTGGCCCACCCGCCTGGACACTGACCCGCACCCATCACCAGCGAAGGGGACGAGCTCGGGGAATGTCACTACTGTCTTATCATGACCCCTCCTTTCTGTCAGCTGAACGACCAGTGGCACAGCAGGCTTGGCCCCTGGCCGGGCGTCCACCCCGGCCTCAGCAGAGGCCAAGTCGTTCGACTTTTCAAAGATCCTGACGGCTGTTAGAGACAGAAGCACCCAGTGCCTCGGCCCAACAGGCAGCCCCGAGCCCCTCTGGGACTGGGCCTGACTGGCCGGAGACACCAGCTCAGGCAGCATGCGTGCTCAGCCTCCTCACACCAGGGGAGGCGCCTCCTCTGAGCGCGAAGCTGGGGTGGGCCTCACACCTGGCCTCTGCATCCACGGAGGCCCCTCCCTCTGCACCGGGTCTCCCCACCGGCAGGGGCTCCAGCACTCGATACTCACGGGCTTGTCGTAGCAGTAACTCGTGCTTGCTGCAAAAGACAGAACAGGTGCAGAGATGCAAGAACACGGTAAGGGACCATCCCCTGCACCCTCCACAGGTAGCTGCTGTCAACCACATGTCCCCAGGCACGTGGCAGCCCACGGGCCCATGGAGGCCGCATCCCCTCACCGACGGGCTCCATGCCGCTGCAGCTGTTCATGTGCATCCAGTGACCTGGGCAACAAGCGGAGGTCAGGCCACCACACGTCACCTGCACTCCAGGGACGTGCCAGCCCCAAGCCCTGCTTCCCAGCACGCTGAAAGCCATGGGAACCTTGATGTTTCAGCAAACGGCAGCTGACCACATGGTCAGTCTTACACAGAGAATTGGGGAGTCACAGAAGCAGAAGATGGCAGGCTGAAGGGGAGGGTCGCGGGCCCCGCAGAGCCTGTGACTCAGCCCTGATGGAGGGGGCCCTGTGCCCACAGCTCAGCAACGACGGAGGGGGCCCTGTGCCCATGGCTCAGCCCCATGGAGGGGGCCCTGTGTCCACAGCTCAGCCCCGATGGAGGGGGCCCTGTGCCCGCGGCTCAGCCCCGATGGAGGGGGCCCTGTGCCAGCAGCTCAGCCCTGATGGAGGGGGCCCTGTGCCCACAGCCCACTCTTGGCACCTCACACCTGCACCCACCTCTCTTGCCCCTTCCTGCCCCGTCCAGGCCCTTCCTGCTGGCTGCTTCCCGCCGGAAGAAGCTGCCACTGACCCTCCCAGGAACAGTCTTCTCACGGTTGCTCTGCCTCAACTTAAAGTCAGCTTGCAGTGTGTTCAGACATACTTGGCTAAGAAAATCTGCTTGGGAGATGAGTAGATATGAAAAGAACACTTCCTATCAGGCTTTGCAAAACCAGAGCCTTTGTCACAATGATAAGGGTAAAAGTCCACCCGGAGCTCTGCGGGGCGGCGAGCAGGGCTCTGCCCTGACTCCCGAGCCTCCGCCCTGCCAGTGCCAGTGACTGAGGAGGGAGCCCCATGAACTGTGACTTCTCCAGAGGCAGCTGCAGCAAAGCGAGACCTTTGCGTCTGGGCTTCAGATCTTTAGAATACAGTCTAAGCCAGCTTACATAGCTTTCTAACAAACACCTTATCAGCCAGAAAGGAAAAACAATGCTCTGAATAGAAGCTAGTGACCCGCAAACTCTAAAACTATAAACTTTCCTGTGGTGGTGTGTTTATCTACCCCTCTGGTACAACGGCGCTTCTGTTAACGGACACGAGGGGCACCCGTGGCATTCTGTCTGCCCAGCAACCTTGCCCTCTCGGGGAGCTCTGCGTGCCAGTGAGGCAGCTGAGCGCACAGTGCCAGGGCCACCCAGGCCAAGCGGACTCGCCCCTGGAGCTCCGCGGGGCCCCTCAGAACCGCGCGGCTCGTCGGGTTTCAGGACAGCGCCGTCTCGCTGCTGCCAGAGGACACGTCACCTGCCGGCACCAGGGGTCCAGCACCACCAGGGCCCGAGGTCGGCGCTGGCCGGGACTTCTCGGTCACCCAACTGATGGGCTCCACACACAGCCACACTAGCCTTGGTGGGCATGCCTCTGAATCTGGGAGTCCCGGCAGTTGGCCCAGGGGCCCACGCTGCATCCCAAACAGGCAGCCCGCGAGGCCTGCGGGTCGGGGGGGCTGTCCTCCGAGAGCCTCGGCCTCCATGCACTCAGCCCCACAGGTGCCCCTGGCGCGCGACCCCCCGCGTGGCTCGTGTGCTTGAGCTGAGCGCGCAGACACCCCAGGCGGAAACAGCATCTGCTGAGCAGCAGCAGCCGCTCCAGCCAGACACACCAACACGGAGGCCACGGCCCCTTCTCTCCCGCGACGCTTATCTGTGCTGCGCCCCAGGTAAGGAAACGGGGTGTAGAAAGGTGAGCGCCAAAGGCTCCCTGGGGGTGTGAACTGCATCTGGGCCCAGAGCCCCCCCACCCCCGGCTGCCCTCACCAGGCCCAGCCTCAGGCCAGGGCGCTAGATTCAGACAAGCGGGGTTAACCAGGCTACTTCAGCAGCCTCGCCTGAGGATGGCTGTTGTTTCCAGCAAGACCCTAGAGCATTCCACGAAACCACTCCACACAGAGCTCGGCACAAAGCCACTTGTAAGGCACAGGCTGCCAGGGAACCCCCAGTGGGACAGAGTATGGGGAGCGACCACCCTGGTCTGCCAGGGCTGAGGGGTGCTGGGACCCAGGGCTGAGCTGGAAGCAGCCCGGAAGCCCTGAAGGATTTTTCCACAGCAGCACTTTCACCTCAGGGGGCTGGACCACGTAGATTCACGATGGTTAGCAGCATCTTCCAAACTTTTGGACCAAAACCCACAGCAATACATACATTTTACATCAGGATCCAGCACGTACTCTGAGAAATACAGTGGAAATAAAAACTCACATCTGATAAAACTCTGCTACCCTCTACCCTATGTCGTTAAAAACTGCAGGTTGACAAAATACTGAAACCAGGGCCTGAACCCAGGGCTACTGCATTGCAGGCAGATTCTCTACCATCTGAGCCACCAGGGAAGCCCCAGGTACCTACCAGTGGATGCAAAACATGGTTTGGGGGGAAAAAAACCTTCATTAAACTACGTCTGGAGGGTTCTGTTCTGGACAAGACAGTGTCACGTGGCCCAGACTCAGCTTCCTGTCTGATTTACCAGGCAGAGTCTGAAACAACTGCAGAACCAGACAAATCTAGGAAATGACAGTATTCCAGACACTGCCATCGGGCAGTGAGAGTGGCCCTGCAGGACAGGACACAGGTGAAGGTGGGCCCAGACGTCCCCGCTGTGGGGAGGGCCCAGCCGCCCACCCTCCCGGGAGCCGCCGCCCAGAGGAGGGGCTTCTGAGGCCTCTTCTGCGGAGCTGCTCCAATCGCGGGAAGACTCCCAGGACTGGGAAAGAACCGCCTGAAAGGACCAGAGGCGCCAACCCCGAGGTTCCCACATGGCCTGGACAGCTCCAGTCCCTTCTGCCAGAGCGGGACTCTTCTGCTCATGGGCTTTGGAGCATCCCTGGTCCAGGGGCCCCGCCGCGGGGCTGCAGCAGGAGGGCATCTAGCTCTGCTCCTGCCTGAAAAGGCTTCAGGCGAAGCTCCAGAGACAGAAACAAACGTCGGAGATGAAGAAGACCCTGCATGGATGGATATATATAACGCTGCAAAAGAAGAGATTGGGGGACTTGAAGGCCCAACAACAGAAAATATCAAAATCATACAGAGAGAAAAAAATGTTAAAAAGAGCATTTAGTAAGTTCTGGGAAAACTTCAAGTAGCCATGTGTATGTGCCACTGGAGTTCCCAAAAGAGGAGAGGTTTGAGAGACATAAAACAGCATTTGAAAAATAATGGCCAATTTTTTTTTCCAAATTCAATGAAAACTGTAAGCTCACAGATCCAAGAAGTGCTGGGACCTCCAATAACAGAAGTGCCACCAATTAATTAAAGATCTGGTGTAAATCACAACTGAAGGATTTCCTGCCTCACCCAGATTTTTGAAAGCAGTGCTTCTCCTCAGTTAGGACAAGCAGGAAGATTAACGTGGTCAATATTCTGTGTAAGCGCCTGCCCTTCCAAGCCGACTAGGAGCCCGCGCTGAGGTGGGAGGCTGGGAACGGTGCGCGGACACAGGGGCAGACGTCAGGGCTGTCAAATTGTTAATTCTGTAGAGGTTGGGGGAACGTCCTTTCCCCTGAAATTAACACATTCACGTTCACTACCCCGCCTTCAAACCTTTGGCCTCAAGGAATCTGCCAGCAGCGGCGCTCATCGGCCCTGCAGGGAGGTGGGGTGGGCGCAGGTGCGGACTGGAGGCCGGGTGGGCTGCCTCACCGCCCCTTTCCTGTCCCGCGCGGGCGCGAGCTCCGGTCAGGACCCCGATGCGGCGCCTCCCGGTACTCGCCCCGGTCCCCCGAGGGGGCTGCTCTGCTTTGGTTTTGCTTATGTGGGTTTTTTTTTTTTTTTTTTTTTTGCTTCTGACTTTGCGAAATATTGGTCTCCCAAAACGAAAGAACACTGCTTTCGGTTTAAATAGCTACTGGGAGCCCTCGAGGTTTTCCAACGTCATCACCGTGAAAACAGAAACTACAGAAGGACATCATGTAATCTCGCTGCCTGGACCCCAGTGCGGCTTCAGTGTCTCTCTCCTTTGGTGGGTACGTGGTCTTGAGAATACGTGCCCCGGAATAAAGTCTTCAGAAAGGACGCAGATCTGGGGCGCGGTCGAGGAACGGGGTGGAAAGAGGTTTGAGGCTGCTAAATGTCCCTCTGTACCTGACAGGCTGTACTCGCGTCACCTCCTCTCCGCATTCGCACCGCCCGGTTACATAAACTTAACCCGAGATTGGGCGCAGGGGCCGGGGGCGGGGGGCTGGGGGCTGGGGAACTCCCCGCCTTCGTCCCGAAGACCCGCCGCCCCTCCTGGCTTTGATCTTCCTGAGAAAACCCGCTCTGCCCGGCGGAGAGGCCGGCGCGCCCCGCCCGCCCCGCGCGGCCCCGAGGCTGGTCCTGCCGCGCGCCCCGCCCCCGCCCCCGCCCAGCCCCGCGCGAGCGCCGCGGTGCCGCCGCCGGGATGTGACCTTCAGAGCCGCCCGCACAGGATGACCGGAGCCACAGCCCCTCGGCGTCCGCGCCTCGCCACGGCCCCCCGGGCGCTCTGACCGCGCGTGCCCGGCTCCCGGCCCCGGCCTCGGTGTCGGCCCCCGGCCCCGGCCCCGGCCCGCCCCGGCCCGCCCCGCCATGCCGCACGGACCTGCCGCCGCCCTGGGCGCCGCACTGCTGCTGCTCCTACTGGCCTCCGAGTCGGCACACCGTGAGTGCCGCGCGGCGCCGCGGGGCGCGCCGGGCCGGGAGACCCCCAGCACTGCGCCCCCCGAGGGCGAGGGTCGCCTCGGCGCGCGCACCCCGCCCCGGCCCGGGGCGCCTCTGCCCCGCGCGCCCCTCCGCCCCGCGCGCCCCGGCCCGGGGCGCCTCTGCCCCGCGCGCCCCTCCGCCCCGCGCGCCCCGGCCCCGCGCGCCCCGGCCCGGCCCGGGGCGCCTCTGCCCCGCGCGCCCCTCCGCCCCGCGCGCCCCGGCCCCGGCGCCCCGGCCCGGCCCGGGGCACCTCTGCCCCGCGCGCCCCTCCGCCCCGCGCGCCCCGGCCCCGCGCGCCCCGGCCCGGCCCGGGGCACCTCTGCCCCGCGCGCCCCTCCGCCCCGCGCGCCCCGGCCCCGGCGCCGCCGCGCTGACGGCGCGTCTCCGCTCTCTCCCCGCTCCTCCCGCCCGCTCCCGAGAAGCCGTGATGCTGCGGGCGCGCGAGGCGGCGCAGTTCCTGAGGCCCAGGCAGCGCCGCGCCTACCAGGTCTTCGAGGAGGCCAAGCAGGGCCACCTGGAGAGGGAGTGTGTGGAGGAGCTGTGCAGCCGGGAGGAGGCCCGCGAGGTGTTCGAGAACGACCCCGAGACGGTGAGCGCGGGGCGGCGAGGCGTGCGCCTGGAGCCTTGGGGCCGCGAGCGGAGCGTCGGGGCAGGCGGGCCCCCTCGACCCGCGCTGCCGCGGCACCACCCTTCAGGGGACACCGTCCGCGCGCACGGGCGGGAACCCGGGGTCTGCGGCAAACCCTTCTGCGGGCGCACCGACCCTTACACAGGGAGGCGGGCGGCGGCGGCGGAAGGGCAGGGTGCGCTGTGCCGCCCCGGCCACCCGCAGGCCCCCTCCTTTCGAGCCCCTGTTCTCCGGGCGATGCCAGCTGCCCCTCAGCGGGGAGAGGCGGCCAGTGCCTGGGGGGTCCTGTGGACGCCCGCAGTCGCTTCCCGCGGCAGGCCTCGGAAGGCAGCCGCCTTGAAGGAAACTGCAACTCTGACAGCTCAACCAGAAAGAGTAGGGTCCAGCTTAAAACGTAAACGAAATACATGGTTGAAGAGCCGGAACAGTTTCCTGCCTCCCTGCCCCCTTGGCCAGATTAGAGGTGGGGGTGGGGCTGTCCACAGATCCCTATCTAGAGGCGGGAGCCTCAGCTTCAAAGACGGAGGGCTGGACGTGCTGGAGGCAGCAGGTCCCACGCCGGGAGGACTGGGAGGACGAGGCAGGGCTGGCACATGCGGGAGGGCGGGCCGGCAGCCGCAAGGTGCACCCTGGGAACCGCGGCGACTGCAGGAGCCTAAGGTGCTGGCTCAGGGCAGTTCAGTTCAGAAGGTTTCTATTAAAAATGTCGTGAAGAACGTGGGGCGACAGGCGGCCGACCACAGGGAGTGGCCCTGGGCGCTCCGTGCCATCTTAGGTGGGGCAGAGGCTGGGGTGTGTGCCCAGGAGCCCCCGCGGGGAAGTAGGACTGAGAGAGGGGTGGGCTCACCCTGCCTCACTTCACACCCTGAGGTCAGGATGATTTCACAGCTGTTTTTGGTTCTACTGGAATATTTCTTTTAAAGAATTCTTCTGGGGTGGAATAAGCGTCTCATGCAATGAACAAATGGGTGTGAAGGATGCAGGCTTTTACTGTAACTCGCGTTTCTGACTGGCTGGCTTGACCCAGGTTGTGGTCCCCTCTCTGAAACAAGTTTGATGGCGATGACCGGCCTGTGGCCTTCCTTGGTCTTGGCACAGCCCACGGCTGCAGTGGCTGAGCTTGACTGGTGACTCTCCGTGTCAGCAGTGGTGTGCTTTAATCCGTGTGAGCTGCAGTTCTGCCCTGCCCCATCTCTTCTGCCTGTCCTCCCATCTCTGATGATGATGAGTCCTGCTGGCCCTGGGGAGCTTGCTCCGCAGAGTGTTTCTGAAGGTCCCACTGGGGCTGTGTGCTGGCTGCTTGGGTCACTGCCTGACTGCGGGGTGTGTGATAAGTGTGTTCCTGCCAGTCCCAGGCCCAGCCTAAAATACTGGCTCATACAGAGCACAGGATGGGGCTTGCAGGTGACCAGACTTGAGGGCAATGAGACCGCTGCCCGCACCAGCCCTGCCCCACCCAGGCCCTGCTCCTGCAGGACAGAGAGGCCTTGGGCTGGGCACACTGCACAGTGGTCACCATGTGCCCTTCCCAGAGCCCACCCCGCCCCACTGTAGCTGTTCTTAGGTTTGTTACAACCTTGTCTGTGCTTAGTCGCTCTGTCGTGTCTGACTCTGTGTGACCCCATGGACTGTGGCCCACCAGGCTCCTCTGTCCATGGGGAGTCTCCAGGCAAGAATACTAGAGTGGGTGGCCATGCCCTCCTCCAGAAGCTTGTCTGCAGTGGATGAAATGAGGGCAAGGACAGCAGTGCTCACAGCAGTGACTTTAACACAGGGACTTGGCACTCCCTCTGGCATCCTGCCCCCTCCCTTCCCAGGGGAGTTGCCTCCCACACCTGCCCCGTCCACCCCATCGGAACGCGTGGACTCCTTTCACATCAAAGCCGCGTGTAATTTTCCAGAACCCTATCCTTTCTGACCCGTCCCCGAATCGGCAGTCACACCTTTCCCTTTATCACCAGCTTCCCGGGCGGACGAGCTCTTTCTGCTTTCACCGAGGGGCACTGGCTTCTGGAGGAGCCAGTTCAGGTCGGGGATTGGGGCTGATTCTTAGGGGACTTCCTCATGTTCTGCTCTGGTCGACCAGATGCCCCTCCAGGCGTCCACACCATCCCATCCTTCACTTTGAGGAGGTCCTGGATCCCAGGGGTGGGGAAGACCCTGCAAACACAACTCACTGCTAATAAACCTTTAGAAAAGCAGCACATCAAGTGAAGCGGTCCTGTGACCTCGCCCATGGCCCCTGGCTCCTGAAAGTCTGGGCTCTCCAGAGAAGCATCACTCCCTTGCCCTCGGATTCCTGGCTCTTTGTGATAGTGTGTGGGTGTCACCTCGACGAGGCCCCGGTCTTAGTTCAGGAAGTCGCGGGAGCCCCGTGCATCCTGATGTGTGACGTGGAGGCCGCGGCCTCTGGGCTGAGAGCGCTGCCAGCTCAAAGGGCCGCCGCTGGGACAGCCCATCCTCACCCGCCAGCCGCGGCAGGACGTCCTCCATGCGGCTGCCCCATCGTAGCCATACACGCCTGCGGGAGCGTTTCCCACAGGCCCTTTGCTTCTGGCAGAGGGGCAGCCTGTCCCGTGTCTCCGGGGTTGCGGGCAGAAGGTGGGGAGGCCGCCCTGTGCTCGGGCAGGGTGGGGGTTCCGGCACCTGGAGCCAGCCCTCTGGGCCACGTGCCCGCCCTGGAATCCCTAGAGGCAGTGCCCTCTGTGCTGGGCGTGTTCTGGGCGCTTCCTGCCCAGGCGGATTGTTGTACCCTGCACCGCATTCCTCTCTGTGGATGAGCCCGTCCTCTGAGCAGGTAGCTTTGGGCACCTTCCTGATTCCAGTGGCTGTGGAGCCCTGAAGAGGAAGGAGCCTGGGGCCTTCCTGACGAGTCCAGCGCTTCCCAGGCTTCCCTCCAGGGACGGATAGTCTCCTCCACATTCTTTCAGCCTCGGGAGTGTCCACCCTGCCCTCCCCTGGAGCCCTGTGATTAGGCTCCCTTTTCTTATCTTGTTTTCCTCTCACACTGTTACTCTGTGTCCCCAGCACTGTCCTCCTCCTGGGGTCTTGTTCAGAGGACTCGGTGCCGGCCGCCATGCTGGAGTCCCTAAGTTCTCCATAAAGCTCACCAGCCCAGCACAGTCACATTCCTACTTAAGTCCTTCAAGGCGAGCGAGCGCTAGAGCTCATACCACTGCCTCTGGCTTCAGGAAAGGATTCTAGACGAGACTCACCCAGCCAGACCTGTGGCCCAGGCCCAATTCTGTACCTCCCAGCACAGGGGCCACCTGGGGCCTGCAGGTTGGGGGAGGTTCCAGGTCTTGGTCCTCAATCCCCTTGTTTGTTTGAGATGCAGACAGTCGTGCTCACACGTCTGCAGACAGCGGCGCCCACACATCCTCAGGTAGCGACGCGCTCACGTCCGCAGACGACGGCGCTCACACGTCCGCAGACAGCAGCGCTCACGTCCACAGACAGCGGCGCCCACACATCCTCAGGTAGCGACGCGCTCACGTCCGCAGACGACGGCGCTCTCACGTCCGCAGCTCGGCGAGTGTCACGCCCCAGAGTCTCAGCATCTGGTGCAGCCGGAGCCTGACTTCTGATCTCATGTCCCTCTGTCTCTCTGTCTCTGTCTGGCAGTGTCTGTCTCTGTCCCGCTCCGCCTGCCTCCACCCCTGACTCTCGCTCAGATGTGAGGGCTCTGTGGTGGGCAGGTTCCCTACCAGGAGGGTTTTCTGGGCGCAGTGGGTCTCAGAGCCCTGTGAGCTGCCCGGCTTCTCTGAGCTGTGTTGGCCATCCAAGGACACCTGCCTCCTACGATCCCAGCACCTTAGGGACAGCTTGGGGGGCACACCCCGAGGGAGGGGAAAACCCCTTCCCTTAAGTCTCCCCTTGTTGCAGTGGCCTAAGGGGTCTCACCGAAATGGGGTCCCAGCAGGAGGGGATGGGGGACCTTTTCACCCCTAGTGACCTCCAGGACAGCCGAGGCCCGCCTGCCCCCCACGCCCCACCCCACCGTGTCAGCAGCTCCCTAACACTGCCTCAGATGCTCAGACACACTCCTCTCTGCCCCCTGAGGGTCCATGGAGGAGGGGACCAGGCCCCCACCGGTGCAGACTCAGCCCCAGCTCCTGCCTGTCCAGGAAGCCCCCTGCTCACTGTGGCCAGGCATCCCCCAGGGCCTGGTCCCTCCCAGGCTTCCTCCACTGGAAGCCAACAGGGGTGGGTTCTCTGAGTTGCCCGTTGCATTTTCTCTGGAGTTGACTCCACACGACCCAGAGGCCTGCAGACCACTGGTTAGACGGGTGGCACGCAGGGCTCCCACGCGGGCCAGCCTCTCCCTGGATGGCCTTGGGGGAGGGACAGCTCTGTCTGGCCCCCCTTTGCTGCCCCTGAATCCTCATACACACTAGTCCTGGGGGGTCACCCCAGTGTGGAGATGGGCCCAGCGGCCTAATGACAGGGCAGGCCCCTAAATGATGTGTCATCCATGACCATGGGCTCAGCGTCTGTGGAAAACCTAAAGATATTCTCAAGGGCGCTGCAGGTCTGCCTATGGGACTTGGGAAGAAAATGACCTTTAAGAAGCTGATGCTCGCAGCCTGGTTTTTAAGATTCCGAGTGGCTGGGCTGGGACATTCCAAACCCAGCGAGGCTGTCACTTTACTCCAGCTCTGCCGGTGCATGTGGGATGTCCTCACGCTGTGTCCACTGAGCTCAGAGGTCGGAGCTGTTTCTGGGCTGCAGACTTCGCTGTGGTTTGAGAGTTAGTGTAGATGTTGGGGTTCCTGGCCCTGTGGTGGTGACATCCGTCCAGTGATTTCACTGCAGTCCACGTGTGTACGCTTGTAAATTGTGACCCTGGGAGAGTGCAAGTTATTATGTTTTAAAGTAATTTTTAAGGAGGACTTGGGTATGGGATGACCCCCAAGCCCGCCTGCACTCCTGAGACCACGGGTCTCATCCCTGCTCAGAGT